ATTCTAAAAAAAATGAAACTTTGCTTGTTGAAAGTTTCAGTATGAGTAAACTTGAGTTATTTACCTTTTTTTTTTTTTTTTCTTTTCCCCATTTTACTTCGCTTCCCTGCATTTTTGAAGCTGCTTTTTTCTGGCCCTTCACCCCAGCCCCACCCTACCCCCAAGACTTATGTTTGTCAATAGAAATAATTTTTCTTTTTAGATATTGGGGATCCAGTGTCTATACTTCAAATCAATTTTTTCTTTAAAAACTTATGTTTGTCATTGGAAATGATTTTTTTTTAGATATTGGGGATCCAATGTCCACACTTCAAAGTTATGTGTGTTTAAAAAAAAAAAAACAGTAATGTGCAAGGTGAAATGCTTTTGGATAAACATAAGCCTATTTTCTGACCTTTCTTAATGCAAACTCTTTGCCTTAAATGGTAGAATATTTAGAAATTTGCACAAAATACAAAAAAAAATTGAAACATTGTTTTGGAGGGTTAAGAAATAGAAAGGCGTATGTGTATGTGTATAGGTATGCACACACATATGGACATACAGGCTGACTTGATCTAGACAGTATATCCGCCCTGCAAGTTAACCCCCCATTGCAATGGTTGCCTTAAGGTGTTTGCTAGTTGTGTACATTAGTGTGGTTAATCATTAGCTACACTGCTTCCCACTTGGTTAGAGCAGTGGGAAGCATACTGTGGCCTACCAGCGTCTGAAAGCGTGTGCTCAACCTGTATGTGTGCAGAGGTGGTGTGGATGTGAGCGTGCATGGAGGAAAAAAGCTGCTACTCTCAGTAGGCCAAACGCTCAGGTTAAACAACTGATGAGTGTTACTGTAGGGGTTGTTTGTTTGTTTGTTTTCTGTCAAATTGCTACTTCTATTGTGGAAGACAAAAGCATTTCCATTTCAACAGTTTGTCAGCTTTATTAATGTTGGGCAAAATCAATATGTTATGAAAATGAAACAGATCTATAGTTTTGGGGCAAAATTATAAAATTAAACATGTAGGTAACCTATTTATATACTGCTATAAAGTATTTTTTGAAGAGAGATATGCAAAGAAGCTATTACCTACATGAAATGTATATTTAAAGATTTTTTTTTTCATCCTGGGAGCCAGGACTATAAAAAAAGAGCGGATATATTTAACCATAACATACTGTGAGTCATCAAACAGCACAAACTTTCATTTCATGGAGTTTATCTGTTGACGTTGATTTAAACTATCATTTGTTTTATCATGTGGGAACATAAGTTATGTGGTCAAAAATATAAGGATTTTGAACTAATGTTGATTCAAGTTGTGTTGTCTTTATCGTATTGTCTTTTCAAAGTGCTGCCAGTTGAAAAGGGAAGCATTATGTTTACAAATCTGTTTTGAAATGTTTGCCAAAATTTTGGTAGTATCTTTAATAAAGATGTTTGTCTCCAGCATCCAAAAAATAAATAAATAACTTTGTTGTGTATCAGTGTAAACCAGAAAATGTTGGTATCTAGAAAACCTGAGAGAGCATATAGAAGAACTTTCCTCTTTGCAGTTCTTCTAAAACATTAACTGGAAAGAGTAGATAATATAGAAGAGTATACAAAAGTAAAAAGACTATACAAAGACTGATAAAAGACCCTGTGCACTATAACTCTATAACATTACCACAGAAATTAGATTTCTATGTAGCACGGACCTCTTAAGGAATTGGTTTCTTTTAGCATTGAGATCCCTGGTGCTCTTCCTTTTACCTCAGAATTGGTACAATCATTACTAAATGTTCATTGATTTTAAACTTTGAGTTGTAAAAAGATAGGAAACTTAATTGGGGATAACTTTGTTCCTCATATAAAGGTGGAGTCTCCTAAGAGATTTGTCTGTAGGTAATGACCTCACTGGTGTCATTTCTTGGACAACTTGGCCTTTTAATCAAAGATTTCTGCTGCTATTTGCTATGAGCAGTGTTTCTCAAAAGCAAGGTGCTTGGACCACTTGCATAACCCAAATTAGAATCTCTGGGTATAGGGCCCAGGTATCCACACTTTCATAAGTAGCCTCCAGGTGACTTTTGCAAGGGAAGGTGTGAGAACCATTGGCTTAGATATGGCGTTAAACCTTTGGGTCTCTAAATCTCAAAGTCTTGAACTGAAGTTGAACTATTGGCTTTTTTTTTAAGCCCATCCCTGTTAGCAGGCACAAATCACTCTGCCCCTCTACATGATCAACTGTTTCACTGCCAGCTCTTATTTCAGAACTTGTTTATGAACAAGCCTTCCAGTTGGCTCTTAGCCCTTGGAGCTCCCACCCACATACATCAGCACATCTTCTGGTTTACAAACTGGATAATAATGGAAGCTGGAGATAGGTTATAAAAATCCAGCATTGCACATAGACTTGACCACCTACCTATAAAAGCCTTAATTTAGATGTTTGTTGTATACATTGGGCACATCCTTGCAAAATGTGTATCTATCAGTTACAAATTTGAGTTATAAATCTCTGAATCTGCTATTACCTGAGGCTGCATCTCTTGTGAAGATGGGCATGAGCCTATTTAAATATTTATAATCATCCTTTATCTCCTACTGCAAGATTTTTAGATTCTCTCAAATAACTGCTGCAGGAA